CCATCTTATCTGGGTCTCCGCCATGTTGGCGGAGACCCAGATAAGATGGAACCCATCCCTTATATAGGAAACAGACCCTGCTTCGGACGTGTCACTCTTGGATTGGTCAATTGTCCATAATCCCAGGTGATGCCTCGGGAGTAGGCGGGGACTCAGTGGGAAATTACCGAGCACATGTGCGTTCACCTGGTGGTGAAGCCGGATGTCAGCGCCATCTTGATAATGGAGAATGTGGCTGCGGCCTTCTACAGGGCCTTTCCCTCCAGGAGCAGCCTTATAGCCCCAGGCGATTTTCATTCTGTTTGAGTCCTCCTATTTGTAAGGACCAGGGAAGCGTGTGAAAACCCTGTGTGGGTTAATGTAGAGCCAAGGTCTTGGGCTTATGTGATAGGTTCCCAGGGGAGGCCAAGCCTGGCCTTGGTTGGGCCGCACACTCTGTGCTCCCTTTGATCCGCGTCCACCAAGGCTGAGCCCTGCACGGACTCCTGCTGCTTACTCTTCAGTCCTCAGTCACCGTACATGTCTTCATGTGACCTGGTGTTCACTGAGGACCAGGGTGATGGTCCAGATTGGTGTGGACGGCCTGTTTCTTCACCCTTCCCTTGCCTACACTGTCACTTCAGAACTGTTTTGGTCTAGAGTGTAGGATGCTGTTTGTTTGCCTACAATTTTGTCAGTCAGTGAGGTGGGTAATGAAAGTTTATATATGAAACCAGGACTCCCAAGGTCTCTCACTCTGCTCCATTGTGGTTTCACCCATTTTTCTAGGTCTGCTTATCTTGTCTAAGCTCTGGCCTTCATGCTCAGACCCAGCCAGGCTAAGCCTTGGGTTCAACCCTAGCTTGTGGTGGTGGGCGAGAAGTAGCTCTAAGCTCAGAGTGTCTCCGCCCACACAGGGCAGGTGGACCTATGACAATGTGGTGAGGGGTGCTATAAGGAGAGGTAGTTCTGGGTGACATGGTTATGTCTAATGTTGGTCAGCACCCAGGATAGGTCAGAGAGCTTATGCTGGCTGCTTAAAGGCTACACAACAAAGATGGGTCCTTACGCCTCCCGGAGATGGAACACAACCCACGAGTAGACGTGTTAATGCATGTAAGCCAAAGAGCTTGTGAATGTCTCCTCAGAGTTGGGTGCTGAAAAGTGGCAAGGAAGTGGTAGAAAGAAGGGACGAGACCCACTGGTTTTTAAAGCAGTGGTGTAAAAGATAGGAGTGAGGGAGATCTCGAGACCACGGCACCGGAAATACCCCATAGAGAGCATTTGATGTTTCCAGTGACTGTTGCTTCACCCTCAGCCTCCACAGCCCTCCAGAGCCCTGCCTTCCCTGAGTGAAACCCTCTAGCCCAAGAAGACAAGAAGTGCTGCTTTGGCACTTCATGCCCTTGAGAGCAGGAAACATTGGCCCCGCCCGCTTATGCAACCCTCAAGTGCTACAGTCACTTCCTGTCCCTCAAGTGTTTGTCTGACCTGGTTGCCCAGTGCCCCTTAGCCCCTTGTGAAACCTCGCCTCCTGCTCGTCCACACCTGGTCTCTCCATAGTGCTCAGCATGGTTTGCTATAAAATCTCTGTAGCCTGCAGAGCCTCAGGCATGTACCTAAAGTCTCCCTAGAAATAAGCAGGGTGGAAGAGGGCCTGCTCAGGAGCCTAGGCAAGGAGAGATGCTCTCCGGGAGTTTATTTCCCAGGTGAAAAGAGCATTAAGGACCCTAGAGCTCTCTTTATGGGGAAGACAGGCCTGTAAGATGAGAAGTAGGATATAGTGGGTGACTCCATCCATGGGGAGCAGAGGCCGGGGACGCAGCTGCTCTGCACCACCTGTCTGCTTTAAAATGGAGTGTGAGAAGGCCAGGTGTGGTGACACACAGTTTTAATCCTAGCACTCGGGAGGCAAAGGCACAGGGTCTCTGTTTGAGGCCAACCTGGTCTACGAGCAGGTTCCAGGAGTACACAGAGAAACCTTGTTCTGAGGGGAGAAAGTATTCACCAATGTATCATGTACATAATTCCCATGTGTGTCCACGCGTATTTTTAGAACTGGTAACAGAAGAGGCAGAGCAGACAGACCAGTGGTACAGGTGCTGGTCCTTCTGCATCCATGTAGGGCTTCCTTCTCCTTCCTTGCCTTCCTGCTCCCGGAGATCATGGGACCAGGCTAGCATTTCTGAATGTTGCCTGTGTCATGAGAGGCCCTTGAAGATGGAGAAGAACAAGAGCAATATGAAGCTTTTCATGTAAGGCAAACTGATAGGAACCCACTAGTGTGGCTACCAAGTCTACCAAGCTTCTACAGTTCCTACAGCCTGAAAAAATGCATTCCATCTCTGCTAGTGCTTGGTAGAGCATCTATAACTCCTGCCCCCTCCCCTATATCCTGTCCTACAGTAACATTACCCAAACTCATCGTACTTGGCCTCCTCAGGAAACCCAGCTAAGTTCCGTGAGGCTGCAGACAACCTCTTGCCTGGGTCAGTTCTAGCCTGTTAATGTGTGCAGACGCCTCGGAAGAATGTTCCCAACTTCTGACCCCTTGTGAAGAGTGACCTGACCCTGGAGGCCCTCATTCTGCCTTCCAGACATCTTCTAGCACAAACCCTGTGAATTTCTCCTGGTGCCCAGAGGTGGGAGCTGGAGTCTGGTATTCCCCGGTGCCTGCTGGTTTGTTACTGTGCAGTGCTTGTTTCAGACTGTGTATGGTGATTTTTTCCTGCTGAGTCTGAATTATGGTCATTTCAGTGTCTGTAAACGGTGCATTCGCAAGATGGACCACCACTGTCCTTGGGTCAACAACTGTGTCGGCGAGAACAACCAGAAGTACTTTGTCCTGTTTACAGTAAGTCAACTTCTGAATTCCGCCCTGCCTCCACGAGGCAATGGGACTCTTATTCTTTGGAGAATGTCAGCACTCTGTGCAGTCTTTGCTGCTGTTGAGAACACTGCCTGCCCACATGGCTGGATCTCCCTGGCTCCACAAGTGCTCTTCGCTTGTGCATGTAGAAAGCAAGTTTGGTTTGCGTAGCTGGAGGCAAGCGTTGTGTTCTGGGTTTCACTCAGGCATTAGTCCCTAAAGAAGGCAGTGTTGCTGGTGACCTCAAGCTCGGAGCCCAGGTAGGTGCAGATAGTTGGCGCTCTGACCCTTTTGGTTAGAAGCAGCAGCAGGTCGTATGTGCCCCACACAGCCCGAGTCCTGTTTGTGTTTAGGCTGTGCATCTGTTCTGGTTCCACAGATTCCTAATGAATGGCTGATGCCTTCCCACTCCAAAAAGGAAAGTAGTGGGTCGGTGGACTGGAGGAATCACAGATACTTTTCTGGCCTTAGCCTAGCAAAGTGTTCCCATAGCACATGTTCAAGGAGACAGCACAGTTAGGCCGTTCTCCCAACAATGGCTCAGCACTGCTTTCCTGTTTCAGATGTACATAGCTCTCATTTCCTTGCACGCCCTCATCATGGTGGGATTCCACTTCCTGCATTGCTTTGAAGAAGACTGGACAAGTAAGTATTTCTGGGGTATTTCTTCCTGCTGTAGAGAAGGTATAGAACCTGAGTGGTGTGGGGGCCTCTATCCCCTTTGCAGTACCAGGCCCGGCCTTATTTTATTAGCTCTTCCGAAAGCCTACTGACTGATCAGGTTGTAAGAGACAAAAAACAACCCCTTCAGTTTGGACAGGCAGCAGACTGAGCATGTCCCAGAGATGCTCACAGGCCCTAAGTGAGCAGAGGCCAGGCTCCTAAGGAGGCAGGGAGGAGACACTTGGGTCTGGGTCTGCAGGGCACTTGTTTTACTCTCGTCACTGCTAGGGTTGAAACCCAGGGCCGCAGCAGGCAGGCACTCTTCTCCTAGCTCTAACAGGGCACTGTAACCAAGGATGTTTTACCCCAGTCTCCCAGAGAGCAGTTTTTAACTTTTTGCCTAGGGCATAGAGGATTTGTGTTTGTTTTTCTTTGTGTGTGTGTATGTGTATGTTGTTGTTGTTGTTTTCAGATTGCTTGTCTTGATACTTAGATTAAGATCGTAGACAGTATCTCCCTGTTTCACACGTACCCCATCTAAATGTGCAGATGCTGAGGAAGGGAGCTTAGCCAGAGACTGCAGGAGAAATGGGGAGTGGGAGAGCAGAAAGTAACAAGCAGCTACATGCTGGGCTAGAGCTTTCACTCAGAATCTGCAAGGCAGATGTCCCAAGCAGGAGCTGCTCCCCAGTTCTGCCATCGGTGAGTGCCCTCCTCTTTCCACGTCTCCGCCTTTTGGCCCTCTCCTTGTCCACCGCAGTTTTGAGAGGGGGGCAGGAACAGCAAGATACCATCTGCAGAACCAAGTGAATCCAGCTGTTCCTGCTCACTTGGTGAGCATTGTGCAAGTGCTTGCACTCCGCCAGCCCTGGCAGTCCAGGCCAGTTCAGGTATGGCCTTGGCAACTTGATAGAGGGAGTTCAGTGAGGTCATTTTGTCATCACAAACCTCCTTCCTGTGTCAGGCCCAGACTGTCACAGCGGCGACTTGGCAGTGGTGCTGACAGGACAGTTAGAGCCCGCTGGGAGCCAGGCAACATGCAGGGAGCATTTTGAGCATTGCTTTGTTGAAACCCTATGAGCCCCAGGATAGGAGAGTGCCCCTCCTTTATATACAAAAGCTGGGGGGTCAGAGTATGAAATAGTCCTGAAACCTCTCACCTGAAAAGAGGATCTACAGTTCAAACCTAGTCTGCTGCCTCCAGTGTACAAGGTCCTCCCAGCCAGATTCCTAATGGAGTGGACTCCAGACACCCATTCCTAGGGCAGTAAAATTGGGAAAATTGCCCATGATTAATAGTTAATGTCATCCTTGCTTGGCTCTGGTTAAGCTGTTGAGCCCATAATAGATTTTGTTTAAGAGAATTCAAGGAACTGGGTACTCTGAGTTGGGGAGTTCTACACTCCTGGGACCTGGATCCTACCATTCCAAATCCTAATTGGAATTTTCAGAGCCTGGGGCAAGAAGGGAAGGAATGGTGAACCTCCCTGGCTTTGCCCTGTAACAGTGCAGCTGAGAAGGGAGTGACCGCTGTCTTTTATGTGTGTGCATGCTGGCACACACACACACGTGCACACACACTCAGACACACACACCACACAGCTGAAGTAAGCTATACAGATGTTCTATTTTCACTTCTTATCCATTTACCTGTGCTGAGGGGAATGTATATCTCAGGATGCCTGAGCTTCACGCCCAGACACCTATGGTTGGGCAGCATTCAAAACTGATTGTATGGCAGTAAGAGAAAGTTACTTGCTGCCTGGAGGTGTAGTGGGAGAGGTAGATGTCAGGTAAGGAAGAAAGGGTGTGATTCCATTTCCACGTAGAAGGGGTAGGAATGGCAGGCTAGTGCAGAGTGTTAGGGCCATCATGAAGCTCATGGTCAGGCTCTTGTCCCCTACCCATGACTGTCAGACTTGAGGGCCCTACTTTTTCCCAGAACCCCTCAGCACTCAGGGCCAGGCAGATAGTAACCCACAGCCAGCTCCTCCATCTAGCAGGCTGCCAAGTCTCTTGGGGACTCCTTGAAGGAGTAAGAGGTCAAAAAGTAGAACTCGGAGGCAGGGTGGGAGCTTGGTGGGGTGGAGCAGGGAGCCGTGTAGCCATCCCAATCCCTGTGCCGCTTTCCTTGCAGAGTGCAGCTCCTTCTCGCCTCCCACCACCGTCATCTTGCTCATCCTGCTGTGCTTTGAGGCGCTGCTCTTCCTCATCTTCACTTCAGTGATGTTCGGGACCCAAGTGCACTCCATCTGCACAGATGAGACGGTAAGCAGGGTCACGTGGGAATGGTCCTGTCTGCAGCCCTAGCCAGAGGTTGCCTTCTTTACCACATATTGTGCCCCATCGGGCATTCTGCCAGGGTCTGCACTTCCCAGCAAGGCTCTAGGCATCAGCTTCTAGAGCTGGTGTCATGATTAGATCCAGGGGACGGATCTGCTGTGAGCCTTCTTGTCCTCGCCCACCCGCTTCTTGTGCTGCAGTAGCTCCTGGCCTTGCAGAGATGTGCAGGAGCTCTGAAGTGGCTGTGATGTAGTGTTTCTTGACTTTTGTGCCTTGGGTTTTGGAGGATGAGGTGGGCAGCACCTTAGTTGAGTGTGCAGAAGAATCAGGGACTTGTGTTCAGCCTCCTGCTTGCTCCTGGCTTCATGAGCGCTGCCCACCACCTCCCCAGTTAGAAACTTTGAGCTTGGTCTAGGGGCCCCGTGCTCTTCATACTGGATGAAGAGCGGCTTCTTCACGACTTCAGGTGCCCAGAGCATGTTGTGGGAGCAAAGGCAAACTGACAGCCTGGTCCTAGCTGTTCTTCATCAAGACTGTCCCTAAAGAGAATTGTGTTGAAAAGAAACAAAAGGCCTGTGGCTCATGGGGAGAGCATCATCCTCTTTAACTGATGTCTTCCCAGGTCCCTAGGCTGTGAGCACATGGGCTGCCCCATCCCCTCGTGGCAGACAGCAGACAGACAACAGCCCCTGCTCTCAGCAGCTCTGTTTGAAGGAGGGAAAGAAAACTCTCTTCCCCGTCCCTGGTGTTTGTTTTATCTTGTATTTTTCCCTGGGACTTGGCAGGGAAAGTGGCGCTGGCTGTGAGAACTGCCTTGGCCTCCACGCTCCTCGCTGAGGGAGCGCTGGGAAGACCTCCTTCCTCCTCACTGTGACCCCTTTCCCTCTAACCTGCGCTAATTCCTCCTTCCTCTTGGGGTAATTGTTTTCCTTACCACCTGCCTCTCGCTGTCTCACCTGTCTTCCCATACTGCCCAGTGGCCGCTTCCTGGACCTCTGGGCTGTGAGACTGCACCAGAGCCGTCCCTTTAGCTGCTGCTCCATCTTTCTTTTCTTCTTCTTCTTCTTCTTTTTTTTTTTTTTTCTGCAAAGTAGCCATTGTAGCTTCAGCTCTCCTGTTCATCGTTCCCGCACCAACAGCCACAGTTGGTTGTCAGAATTTCGGGCTCCTGCACCAAAGCCTTTGCATACAGAGGTGCTCGGAGCCCTTCTTGATGCAGCAAGGACTCAGGTCTGGCGTGTAAACCCTTTGACTAGATGGTGTCAGTCTTGTTGGCGGCAGTGGCCCGGGTGCCTGCTGAGAGCTCATTGCCCCTTCCTCCTTGGGAGCTTCTAAATGTGTGATGCTCTTACGAGAGACAGAAGAAAGCTGCATTATGTAGGTAGCTTTACGGCTTTGACAAAGAAGTGTTCACTGGTCATCGGAGGCATGTGGACGTCTCTCCTAAAGCCATAGCAGAGGGGCACTTGACTGAAAGTGTGATTGTTCTTGTTTTCAGGGAATAGAACAATTGAAAAAGGAAGAGAGAAGATGGGCTAAAAAAACAAAGTGGATGAACATGAAAGCTGTTTTTGGCCACCCTTTCTCTCTAGGCTGGGCCAGCCCCTTTGCCACACCAGACCAAGGGAAGGCAGACCCGTACCAGTATGTGGTCTGAAGGACCCTGACCAGCATTGCCACTCAGGCCCCATCATGGCACCGTCCCATCTGCTCTCATGAACATTTAGGCCAAAAGCAAAACAAAGTGACTACTCTTAAAACTTTTTTATGTCTCCAGAAAAATGGCTGAGCATTGCAGAGAAAAAAAAGTCCCCATGTTTTATTTTTTAAAAAAAAAATCATCTTTTCAATTTTTTGACGGATGAAGCTGCTCTTTCCTTTTGAAATCACTTCTCTGGCCTCTGTCTCCTCTCTGCTGTCTGTCAGCACAACTAACGTCGAGGGTGCTGCCCAGGCCCTGCCCCTTCTACTAATTGAACCCCTGATGCTGTGCATGGATGAACTGGTCCAGTAGGGAAGCCAAGAGGGCCCTGCCCGCCTCCTGCCCCCCAGGCAGTACTGGCACCCGCGGGACTCAGGACCTCACTGAAGATGATGCTAAGCCCTAGAGGCCTAAGAATGGCAAGACGTGCTGGAGCCTTCAGAAGGGCCCTTCTGAAGTGGCTTCCTGCGCCCAAGTGAACACAGTTCGCCTCATTTTCAAAATTAATTGCCAGCCTTGTACTTGATGGGCACGGCTGTGCAAAATGATTTGGATGAGGTGGGAGAGGTAAGGGGTCTCTGTATTCTGAATTAGCAACTATGTCCCTCTGACTTTTTGGAAGACTATGAAGGAGAGCTGTTTTCCAGTTCAAAAATGCCTTATACAATCACAAGACGAAAAACTGTTTCAGGCAAGCTACACTTGACCTGTGTTACAACTACTTCCTACTCCAGTTCCCGCCCATTCCCAGCAAGTTGTCAATCAAGCTATGTTCATTCTGAGGGAAACAGACAGGCCAGCTATCAGGATCATCTCATTTTTAAGTCTGCCATGAGCATATATTTTCTGGAGTTTAAAGCCCTCTAAATGTGCACAGACCTGTATCTTACTTGTGTTTCTCCTGGGAGATGGTTTGTAGATGTTAGACCGTTCTTAGAGTTACCAGGTAGCCTCCCCACACCTGCTCCTCAGCCCACCACACAGACGCGCTTTCCCGTCAGAAGGCAGTTCCCGGTGCAGTCTCGGAGGCCAGAGCTGGTCCTGAGCTGGAGAAGGACCAGGGGATGCAGGAGGTGCTGAGAGAAAACCCCTCTTGAACACTACATCCCACTTAGACCACGAGCACCGTGAAGTCCTCCACGCCAGTGGGTTTTAAAGCACTCACCACAGAACTCCCTTTGTAGCTTTTGCTTGGGGTGGGGGTGGGATAAGGTTTTTCACTCTAGTCCTGGGTAGGAGGAAAGTTGACATAGCCCTGTGATTTTTTCAGAAGTCAGCGGAACATTCTGCCGCTTCCCAACTCTGCCAGTGCTTCCACATGGAAACAATGCAATAAACCTTTTCCAAACCTCTGTTTCTGCTCCACTGTCTCCCCGGGGTCTGTGCAGAAGGGTGGGTGGCATCGGGCTGCCAGGTGAGGGAGTTGGGTTTTGTTCTTAAAGAGTATTGCTGACCTTTCTGAGGTCAGTGCTGTGTATGTGTTGGCTGGGTGCTCTGTGACCTCAGGATGCCAAGCTCTCCAGAGTCTAAGCCAGAGCCTGCCCAGCGGAGAGCAAAACTGAGCCAACAGAAAGTACCTAGCGTCCCTGCCCACAGTTCCAGCGTGCTGCTGTGGGGTTCTTGCTGGTGGCATCAGGCGATGACAGATGAGACCACCCTGGGCATTTAACCGATGGCTTGGCCACCTTCCTGACCTCATTTGGCTTTGACTTGCATCTGCTGTGCTGCTTAGGTGGATATCCAGGGGGCTGGATGTGTGTATGTGGGTGTATGTTTAATTTTGCACATAATTGTATATATTTACATATATAAGCTTTTTTAGATCAAGTTCATAGCATTTATTTTCCAGGTACCTTTTAAATTTTATTTATAGTTTTCTAGATATATATGAAAGAGGTGTGGCCTATTCCAGGTTCAGTAGGTTAGAATGGTCTAGCCGTGCTCAAATACTCAGGATGGACCCACTGGGCAGCAGGCAGCAACACTACAGCTGTGGTTTCTGCTGTCACTGTCTGTCTGTCTGTCTGTCTGTCTCTCTCTCTCTCTCTCTCACACACACACACGCACACACACACACACACACACACACACACACACACTTTCCCTCTCAAGACTGGAACTTGGGAAATCGCCTTCAAGGACATTTTTTGTAGGACATTTTTGGTCATTGCTTTCCCCATGCAGTTCTTAGGGAATGCAGTAGGTGGTGCTACAGGAGTTTGAATCCTGAAACTAAAGTTCACCCTCTTAACAAGGTTGCTCCCACCTGGCATCCCAGGTCTCATTTTTTTTCTATTCTGAATTAGTCCAAGCCCCAGTGCTCACACTAAAGCAAAGGGGACTCAAGGTAGGACTAGGCCAGGGTGGCCTGTGTGTGTCCTAGTTCACTTTCTCTGAGCGTGCAGTGACCACGGCATGTGTGTCGGCTTCTTCAGATATAGTAAGAGTTTCTTTCTCAGTAGTCCCCACTGGTAAGGGAGCCTACATTTCCTGTATTTCAGAATGGGAACTCTGGAAGGTAGGAGTGAAGAAGACATGGCCGGTTGGGCTGGGTGATACCATGTTCTTGTCCATCTCTGATATCATATCTGTGTGTTTACACGGGCTTGGTGACATGTATGCAGGGTACAAAAGCAGAAATGTGTGCTGGGCCTCTCCTCGATGCCATCGTCTCTGTGACACTTGGACCTTACAGAAGCTAACGGATAGCTGGCCTTTGCTCAGTCTGACCCAGCCACTTCATGTCCTGCCGAGAAACTGTGACACTTGGACCTTACAGAAGCTAACGGATAGCTGGCCTTTGCTCAGTCTGGCCCAGCCACTTCATGTCCTGACGAGAAACTGTGACACTTGGACCTTACAGGGGCTAACGGATAGCCGACCTTTGCTCAGTCTGGCCCAGCCACTTCATGTCCTGACAAGAAACCTTCCAAATGAGACAAACTACCAAATGTTTATTAAGGGATGCCCATGCAAGACTGGTATCACAGACTGTCCCACTCCAGGGGGATGGGCTGGAATTCTCCAAACCAGACTAATAAGTTTTCTGTTCCTGTTTTTTCTAAGCAAAGCGTATCAGCTTCAAATGTTGAACTACCCAAGGGACACAATGATTCAGAGTTACAGGGATGAGGCTCCAGGTTAGCTCTGATGCTGGTGGTAATGGGTGCTGTTGCTGCCCACTACGTGGGACGTGATAGCCAAGACCAGCAGGTGCTCGCACTGATCAACCACTGACCAATGACTTCCACTCTGTTACGTGTGGCCTCTCCTACAAATGAATGCCAAGGAAACCTGGAATGTATAAAACAGCCTCTGGCGATCCTTAAACATTCCGTGCCAGCCTGTGTTGACCAAGGCACCTTTACTGAAGAGCCAGCAGAAGGATAAAACCAAGGAACCAACCTTCCCGTGAGGAGCGTCTAGTGAGTTCTCCAGACCCACAGTGCTTGAGTAGCCCCGCCATGGGCAGGTTTTCATTTTCCACTGTGGCTTCATCTCTCATGGGGCTGATTCTTGACTATATGAAGGCAAGCATGTTTAATCCCAACAGGTTCAGAAGTCGTGGCAAGAGGGTCAATTCAAGGTTAGCCTGTGGTACATGAGACCCTAGCTCTCAAAAAAAGAATTTGTAAAGAGCCAGGCATAGTGTAGTCCCAACACTCAGGAGGTTAGGACGGGAATGTGGTTCAAGACCAGCCTAGGGGGCACAGTGAAACCCTATTCCAAAGAGAAAAGGAAAGAAGCCACCGAGCAGCACACTCCCCCAAACCAGGACCTTCACCCTCAGAAGAAAGTTACGGCTTAAAGAAGAGAGGCCGGGACCCCTCTCTGTCCTTGACTGTTAATACACGTGAAGCAGAGGCCCCAGACCCTTACTCTCCTCTTCCGTGAACAATGCAAACCAGGAAGAATAATGAGTACTGCAGGGGTGGCAGCCCAGAAACCCTCTGGGGAAAGTGGAATAAAGGGTGCCTGGAATTCTTCAGCGTGTTCCTGCCCACGCCAAACGACGGGTGTGGACAGTCTCCCTGGGCCCTAGTTTCTCTCTCATGGTCTCTGCAAGCACTGGATGAAAATGCAGAAGGTAGAGTGGTTCGGGGCTTGCTTTCTGGGTGTGTAACAGCTTCTCTGGAGCCGGGCTTGTCCAGTCTGGGTCATCTATGTTCTAAAAACTTGTCTTGTTGAGGGGTAGGTTTGAGACAAGGTGTCTCTGTTAGCCTTAAACCTACAGAGATCCACCTGCCTCTGCCTCCTGAGTGCCAAGACTTACCACCATGCCCAGCAAAACCCATTTTTAAATATATTACCTGCTGAATGGTGTTTGAAAGGCTTTTGGTTGTGAATATGTGTGTGTTACGGGACACAACAGGAAGAGGTGTACTACTGTGGGCTTCAGTAAGGGGATGTGAGCTAGTGTCATCCGGCCAGCTCTAGAGAGCCTGCTGTGGGGTGCTGTCCAACTCCTCTGCCGACACTGGAGTCTGATTCCAACAGTCTCACAAGCCTTGGCGTCTCTGCCTCCCCTAGTAGTCTTTGGCCTCCTGTTTTCATGCTGGGGTGTTGTGAGTTCACGGATCACACTCCCCATACGTGCAGGTGAAACCCAGTGCCTGCTGAGTGATTCAGTCTTCTCTTGAGCCTGAGACATGGGTACACACCCATGAGCCTTCTGGACTCCGTGACTCCTAGAAAGATAGCCTCGAGCCTGCTTTTTGCATCCATTTATTTAGGCTATTTCCTCTCTAGACTCAACCGACACTCCTGATGTCTGTTCTCTTAGCTGCTAAGGAATGTCAGCACACAGGCCCGTTATCCTAACACACCACTGGACGGTGGCAATCCTGCTTGTCCACATGGGCAAAGTGAGTCTTTGTCAGAGAATGGGGAAAACACCTGGTGGGTAGAAAAAAGGTTGGTCCTATTTCTGCATAACCTTCCAGCCAAGCTTGGGCTGCTGTCTCAGCCTGACAGACCTCTGCTGAGAATTCTCAGGTGGGTGTCATCACAGTGTAGTGTCCCAGCTCTTCTTGACTGCAGGAGATCGCCAGGCAGGGGTGCAGGGACCCTGAGAATGCATTGTCACTGCTGCCTGCAAGGAGGGTGTGGCCAGAGGCTGCCAAGTGAAGCCTGTGCCTGTGTGCACGGTTTGCAAGGGGTGCTAAAAATCTCATCTGTCGTGATTCTTGTTGTGATTATATAAAATTAATGTTTGCTCCATGGTGAAAACATGAAATGTGAACAAATCCACAGAAACAGACACCATTTGCTAGGGAAACAGTTCCATGGTGGGTTCCTCTGCAAACTGCTCCCCCATGATTACCACACGGGTCGCTGGGTGGCTGCCAGCCCACACGGTTCCGATTTCTAAAATTAGTCTGCATTGCTGTACACTCCAGTCCTCAGCTTCCCATATCAATTCCGTGTTCCATGTTATAGAACAAAATCTGCCATAAACTTTTTGACATTTGTTTAAACTTTTCATTGTGAAATAATTTCACTTATAAAAATTATGTATCTTCTCTATGACACTCAGTGCCAGAGATAAACATCTTATAACCATAATATCAACAAAAAAAATTCCTTTCTTTTTTAAGAAAATAATTTTAAAAGGAAAGATACAGGGCTGGACAGTGGTAGTGCACGCCTTTAATCGCAGCACTTGGGAGGCAGATCTCTGAGGTTGAGACCAGCCTGGTCTAGAGTTAGTTCCAGGGCAGCCAGAGCTACACAGAGAAACCTTATCTTAAAAAAAAAAAAAAAACTTTAAAAAAAAATAGCTGGGCATGTCTTAATCCCAGCACTCGGGAGGCAGAGGCAAGCAAATCTCTGTGAGTTTGAAGCTAACCTGGTCTACAAGAGCTAGTTCCAGGACAGGCTCCAAAGCTACAGAGAAACCCTGTCTCTTTAAATAAATAAATAAGAAAGGAAGGAAGGAAGGAAGGAAGGAAGGAAGGAAGGAAGGAAGGAAGGAAGGAAGGAAGGAAGGAAAGAAGGAAGGAAAAAGAATCCTGAATTCTGCATGGGGCACATACCTGTAGTCCGTGCTGCTGTGGGATGATCACTTGAGCCTAGGAGTTGGAGACCAGCCTACACACAATAGCAGATGAAACCCATTTTCTCTTTAAAGACAAACTATTGAGACACTGCCCTTTGCTTCAGGGGCTCTCTTGAGGTTCCTCTCCTTGCCCCTTTTGCCTTCATGGGTCCCACATTCTATTGTTTGTCTCTTCACCCCATTTCCAGCAGTTCCTCAGTCTTAAATTTGTCATGACCTACATTTTCTAAATTGAGGATAAATTCATATAATGTAATATGAATCATTTTAAGTGTATAGTGGTTCTATGACTTATCTAATTCAGAATAAACCACTTGTGTCTGGTTGGTCCAGTGCAGAAGCCTTTCTGTCTTTGGGTTGGGCTGTGGTTTGGGGCAGGAATGCACTGGGGTGTCATATCTGTGGTTCTTGATAACTGGGGACACTTGCCACTGATCCACTTCAGTCTTGGCAGTTCTGACTTTGATCATTGTGCTAAATCCATCTCTGAAATATTCACTGCTGTAAAACGGCCGTTAGCTCCTTTAGTGATTGATGTCTCGTATGAAGAGAGAATGTGAACTCAGATTCTTTTCGTCTGTTTGTTTATCCCCGACTGTCCTCTGCCTCCCAAGTGCTAGGGTTAAGGGCGTGTGGCACCACAGCTGCTGAGATCAGATTCTGTAACTAATCTGAGGTGGTGTGGGAAGAGTACCAGAGTGTTGGTGTATGACATGGTCAGATGTCCGCATAACAAAGATGGTATCCAGTATGCCAGTTATGGGAGAAGACTGCACGGAAGATTAGGTGTAGAACTAGGAACATAGAGGTCTTCGTTGGAGGAAGAGGGTCTTGAGTCATACGAATGAGCACACCCATGTCTGTTGGGCAAAGTCAGTGAACTCCCTTGGTTTCCAGCAGAGGCTACCCTGGGGACCCAGAGCCTCTGTAGGGGTTTTATGGGTCTGGAGACCTGTTCTGACTGTATCTGTAACAATTCTGGGCTTTTTCCTACCCGTCACCCTCTTTCTGTGGCCTGGTGGCCGAGTTACAGCCAGCATCCTCAGCAGGTGAGTGGTCAGCTTGGGAGAAGCCATGGGGAACCCACTGCATGAGCAGGCCTGACACACCCTCACAACCTACAGTGACCTTTGCACCTTCCGGTGCCCACTGCATGTGGCATCTGCTGCTTCCCCTGGCATGTTTGTGTCCTGTTCTGTGTCCTCACCCCTCAGCCTTCCCGGTGCCAAGCTTGCTGGTCCTATCTTAGTGGTTTCGTCAGACGGACAGGAGCCAGGGTATCCTTGGTCACTGGGTGTCCAGCAACCGACCTCTGCCTTTGGAGGAAGGGGTCAGGGAGTCAGCGGGTGACAGGTAGTTCCGATGCCACGCCTTCTTACCGTGCTCCACAGTTTCTACTCTGCCCTGCAGCCCTGTGGGGCTTCCAGGGTGGCCTGGGCCACAGCAAGCTGTGCCATATCGGACTCCCCATGCCCTGCTCTGCCAAGACAAAGGGTGTGTTCATGTCGCCCAAGTCACGCCACACTGACCTCTCGCCCCATTCCCCTCCAGGGTATTGAACGCCTCCAACGCGAGACGCAGCCCAGGGAGCACTCGGGCAGCTGGAAGTCGGTCCAGGAGGCTTTTGGTGGGGACTTCTCCCTGAACTGGTTCAACCCTTTCACCAGACCTTGTCAACCCGAGATACCCGTTGACAAGGGCTTGGTCCGGCAAGTGTCGTCTCTGTCAGACATGGACAATATGGAGACCACTGGGAGCCAATTGGAGGAGACAAAAGACAGGGACTCTGTGGAGGTGCTGGATGAATAGAGACTGCAGAGAATAATACACCAACAGTAGCTGCTGGCCCGATGCACACTCCCCAGCTCCCAGGGTGTGCACAGCATTCCCATGGTGTTACCAACTCTCCCTCTCCACCCTTTCTCCAGTTAGGACTCAGAGTGGGGTATGGGTAGAGAAGAGTAGGGACTTTCTCTGAGTTCCTCTTAGCAACGTGTGCCAAAAGGGATGGTCAGAGACCATTCTCCAGGCCTGGGAAGGCTGCCTAGTCTCTACCCAGCAAGGGAAATGATGACCAGAATGTCCTGGGGGTGGGGGAGAAAGCCACTTCTTATGGGTTGTCTTGGGGACGCTGAGGGCCTTGGGAAAGGACATTGACATCGGGATGACCAACCTGAAAGGCTGGAGAGACTAGCCATTCCTGGGGAAGGGAATTCCTTGTCTAACTGGCTGTGGGAATCAGGACAAAGGAAGGGCTACTGAACCTGCCTTTGGGGCTTAGGCTTGGTTGAAAGAGCACCCCACCCACCTGCATTTATGCTTGCATGCACATGTGCAGAACCTGTTCAGAAGAAAATGAGCCTGAGTTATGACAGAGTCACCCAAAATTCGTTCCTGTCCTATAGATACTGGACTCTTCTCTGAGACAACAATGGAGCCAGCCTTTCTGTGGCCACAAGTTTGCATTCGTATATTGAGCTCCTGAAAAAAGTCCAGTAAGACATGGGAACGGGTGCACCCAGAAATGGTTACCTTTGCACTTTAGAACAGTTCCCAGGATGGTGCCTCACAGCTGCATGGGTGGCTCTGAGGCACATGCCTTTATTCCAGCATTTGGGGCAGGCAGCCTGGCCTGGGCTGCTACAGAGCTCCAGGCTACATATTGAAACCCCATGTTAAAAAGCTGGGTCTGGGCGGCCTCCTGCACTCCCCAGTCTGTCGCAGTGGTTACGGAAGCAGCAGCTTTTGCAGTCTGAACAGATAGTTTCAAGAAGCACACCAGCTCCCCGACTCAGACCTTGAGCCATTCCCCAGTGTTGCCTGCACCAACTCTGGCAGAGGATTCTGTATTACATCCCTTCTTCCAGGTCTGGGTGAAAAGACATGAGTCAGGTTTTGGTTTGGTTTGGTTTTTGGGGGTTTTTTGTTTTGTTTTGTTTTGTTTTGTTTTGTTTTGTTTTGTTTTTTTTGAGACAGCGTTTCTCTGTAGCTTTGGAGCCTGTCTTGAAACTAGCTCTGGAGACCAGGCTGGCCTCGAACTCACAGACATTTGCCTGCCTCTGCCTCTCGAGTGCTGGAACTAAAGGCAAGCGCCACCACTGCCCAACTGAGTAAGTATTTTTGAGGACACTGAGAAAGGAAGGCTGGGGGGGGGAGGGCGAAGGCCAAATAGTGGTCATATTCCTGGGCAGCACCCTGGGCAGTCCCTGGAGGTTGGGGTTCCGTCAGATCCTACAGCTCGCCCCACAGAGTGGCAGCGGGGCCCGCGCTACAGGTGCATTTCTTCCGAGCAGATGTGCTTCAGTGTTTATCTGTACTAGCATCCTAGCCCAAGGTGGCCTTACTGCTGATACTATCTGGAGAGAGCGGTCCTCTGGCTGCAGGAGTCCTAACCCCTGGATGACCTATCAGAGACTCCACGCCAAGGAGAAAGAAGGGCTAGTGACTGGGTCCCCAAAGAGCAGCCGTTAAAAGGAAGGAGATTTAAAGTCGGTGTCTGTGTTGAGTCCAGGACCTCAAGGATATCTGTGCACACGGGGGCTGAAGCCCATCTGGAGCCAGCTTGACCAGCAGCACAGCTTCCTCCCAGCCCCACAGCCGTCCGTTTCCAGAGTACTCCCCTAGAAGAGTTGAGGTGGGCAGGCATCTGCTCCCACAGGTTTAGAACTCTTCCTCCTTCCTCAGCAAACCCATTTTCATGTTAGGGCCTCAGCTGCATCTCTCCCAAAGAGATGGACAGCCAGGGTCATGTAGGCAGTAGTCTGCTCAGTCTTGAGCCTTGTGCCTTCCCACCAGGACAGACACAGTGGCCTTCTCTCCATGCTGATCCCTGAGAGTCTGCTCAGTACCGCAGCTGATAAGAGGCCCAGTGTTTCTGGAAGGGAGACGGGTTGCACACCTGCCTCTCGTTTGAATAAAAGCTCTCTGATCTACCTCTGTAGTTAGAGGTGCCTATTTTTAGCAGCCTAAAGCCCTGGACAGCATCCTTCCTCTCAGGTCCAACAAATGTCATATAGACATTAACAGTGGCTTCATGGGGTTACTAAACGGTCACCCCACAAGCATATGCCAGACACCTGCTGCATCCCAGGGAGGTGGACAGATAGGCAAAAGGAATCAGGACTGAGGTTTTCCAGTTCTGAACAAATGAGGTGAGATGCTGACAGTGTTCTGGCTAGTTTTCTGTCAGTTTGGCACAAACTAAAGATAATTGAGGAAATGTCTCTGTAAGATTGCCTATAAGTGCCAAGTGGTGGTGATGCGCATTTTTTTTTCTAATCCCAGCACTTGAGAGGAAGAGCTGGGGGATCTCAGTGAAATCGAGGCCAGATTGGTCTACAATGCGAGTTCCAGGATAGCCAGGACTGTTAAACAGAGAAACCCTCTCAAAAAAAAAAAAAAATGACCTGTAAGCAAATGTGTAATGTATTTTCTGATTGATGGCTGATGTAGGGGACCTGGCCCGTTGTGGGTGGTGCCACCACTCTGGTGATATTTTGTTTGTGCTCTAACAAAGCTCGCCTGGAGATCAGAAAGCCGAGCTAGCCGCTAGTTAACAATAGAGGCCAGGCTGTGGTGGCACACGCCTTTAATCCCAGCACTAGGTAACTCATTCCTTTAATAGCAGCACTATGGAGGAGGAAACAGGAAGTGATATGGGTGCTTGGAGAGAGATGCTCAGTCTCTTTCAGGCCGAGGACCTGGCTAGGTAGGAAGTGGCTGTCTCTGTCTTGCTTCTTTATCTCTCTGATCTTTCAACATTTACCCCTGTATCTGACCCTAGGTTTTTATTATTAAGACCAACTAGAATTCGCTACACCACCCCTGGGCTGGTGGTCCTGATAGTATAAGACAACATCTGGGCAAACCTTGAGGAGCAAGGCCGTAAGCAGCACTGCCCTGACTGCCCTCAGAAACTGAACGACACCTGGACGTCAGATGGAATCAGCTCTCTCCTCCCCAGGTTGCATTTGGTCACAGTGTTTTCTCATATGAAGTGTCCTTTGAATACACAAATACCCCTCATTCGGTCTACTCCACCTCTCTGAAGTATGTCCACTTAGGAATTGTAGCCCGTGACAGAGGCTGGCCATCATGAAGACAGCCCAGACCAAGGAGGTCAACCCCGTTGGGAAGAGGCAATGGCTCCCCCCAGGTTTGTTAAGCAGCATACTGGCATAAAAGGAAAATTCACTCAGGAGGACATAGCCATCTTAAAGTCACCAGTTTAATTCAAAGCATAGTGATCATCGAGAAGATCCCTGGAGGGCAGAGCAGAACACAGACTCCAGTGAGCAGAGCAGATGTCATTAGTGGCCACAGACTCCTCCCCATGTCCCACCCAGAGGCAACAGGGCCTCACGCCAGCATGGGGCCTGCTTCTGAGAGGACAGAGCCTTGGAATGAACATGCAGTGCCGGGCCCAGGACCGGCTCCAGGATGCTTTCCTACAGGGGTGTCAGCTCACCTCTGGGCACCCCTGGACCTGACAGAATCCGTTGCCCAAATGGAAGATACCTCCAGCACTTTCAGTCCCACTGAATAGCAACTCTGGGTTCTGTCTATGGGTCTAAACCCAGGTGACAGTTGCTGTCTTCTGAGGCCGTGACTCCTAAATGTGTGTTTGAGATGTCTGTGCTGTGTGCTCAGAGGTGCCCCGGTCCCATGGAGCTACTGCCTGAGGTTACATTGGCCCTTGAGCTGTCTTTTGCTGGGCTGTCTCTTGAATCTGCCCTCCTCTGAGTAATTAAATCCAATCATCTGACCTGAACATTAAGTACAATTTAGGAAATGCTAACATGCTTAGCTGAGGCTCAGAGCCAATCAGGGCTCTTGCCTCCATCTCCGTGGTATCAGCTGGGCTACTTGGTGATGAGAATGATCTTCTCGGCATGAACCTCCTTCACTTCTCTGGAAGTAAACTTGACAATAAATTTCTTGGGTCCACTTCTTACTGGGGTGCATTTCATTTGGAAAGTGATGGACTGTCCAGGTGACACTTTCCTAGAAAATTCAAATGCACAGACAGTCAGCAAAGATGCCACAGAAGAAAAGTTCATTGAATGAAAAACCAGGCATCTGGTTCCGGGACAGCTCTTGGAAAATCACTGTGCTCCGGAGCCCAGTAAAGCGGGCCTCCACCTGGAGTGCAGCCATTTGTCTCAGCTGCCAGACAGACGGCTGGCTGGAATGGCTGCTCTCCAGTCAGGACCGTCACAAACCCTCCTGGGCGTCCTCAGGAATACAGTTCCTGGTGGATCTACAGGTGCTATCTAACCCTAGGGACTCAAGATGGCATTACCTGCTAGTATGTTGGACTCGGAGCTCCCCCACCCAACTGCTGAACAGATCTGTTCTTTAACAATGTTCCCGGGTGATCTGTGTGTCTGCGAAGGGTTAAGAAACCCTCATCTCAGAATAACAGGAGGCTGCTGGGATTTTCCTGGGAGATCTAGACACTTGGTGAGAAACAAACCCGAGGAATCTTTGAGTTAAAATCCTGCACTGGGTATGTCAGCATACCAAAATCAATAGCATGTATTTAGTTCTCTAGGCAGAAAACAGCAAGAAACATCCCCTGCACCAAGGCATCAAAGGCTCCGACTAGGAATGTGCCCCTTACAAAGAGGACACATGGATGCATGGGAACTTAGCCTACATTTCTGCAAGGCCATTTGTTTGGCATAGCACAGTTCCGGTTTAAATCCCAAATCAAGGTGACGCTAAATGTTCTATTTTTAGAAACAGAAGAAAGCTGCCTTCTATATAGCTTTGCATACTTCCCAGTGCAGCCATTCAAACGACACAACATCACCTACAAAGACACATGAAACAGTCCAGAGACTGAGGTATTGTGGGGATTACCTGTATTATAGACAATGTTTCAGAATACTAGGGAAATGATAAATTATTTGACAAAATTGGTGCTCTAGATTATTCCACCCCAAAATTAATGTTCACAGTAATAATTATGTAAATAGAGGGATAAATTGCAGAAAATTTTATACTATTTCTCTTTTTTGTTTGGTTGATTTTTTTTTTTTTTTTGAGACAGAGTTTCTCTGTGTAGCCCTGGCTATCCTGGAATTAGCTCTGTAGACTTGACTGGCTTCAAACTCAGAGATCCACCTGCCTCTGCCTCCTGAGTGTTGAGATTAAAGGCATGCACCACCAACACCATCTGGCAACTATTCCTATATTCTTGTTAATGACATGAAATTCGTATCCACAGAGAAGATTAACAAAGGTATGTTAGGACTTTAAGCATTGAGGCTGGGGTGTGTAGTTCAATGGGAGAGCACTTGCCTTTCATGTACAAGGCCTGGGCTCGGTTTCCAGGACAACACTTTAGAAAACAAAGGCTGGGCGGTGGTGGCACACACCTTTAATCCCAGCACTCAAGAGGCAGAGGCAGGCAGATCTCTGGGAGTTCGAGGCCAGCCTGGTCCACAAGAGCTAGTTTCAGACAGGCTCCAAAGCTACAGAGAAACCTTGTCTCAAAAAAAAAAAAAGAGAGAGAGAGAGAGAGACAACGGATGCTTTGGCATTTCTGTAGAACAATCAGATTGACAACTGTAGAATAATCAGATTGACAAGAAGCAGAAGGGCCTACCCCTGGCAGAACACTAGTGTAATCTTTTCTGTGATTTGGTACCAGCAACGTGTGTCTGCATTTTTACTGACTCTCATGCCGAAAGTTTACGTCTCTGAAGGATGGCACATGTGTGAGAGACCCATGTACAGTATCTTATACCATGAGAACAACTTGGGTAGACTCACTCTTGGTTCCAGGACTGCATGTTCGAGAGGGCCAGGCTTTCCACGGAGAACCTGATGTCAGTCAGAGGGATGGGCAGGGTGTTCTTGAAGGAGCAGGTGATGAAAAGCGGACTGTTAACCTTGCCCGTGTCCGGCATCTGTTGGGAGTGGAGAAAAGGCAGGCGTGATGAGCTGCAAACGAGAGCTCAGATGGTAGGTTTGAGAGTGTCGGTAGGTCTGCACTCCCTTGGAGGGCTCTTGTGGAGAACCCGGTTCACCTGTGTCTCTCTGAGATTCCATATATTTGCACGTGTTTACTGCTTTAGCTTTGTCAGACACATTTTGAAGGAACCCGAGGTACATACTCTGATGGTAGCCAGAGGTCCTCCATCCTGATTTCATCCAGCTAACCAGGACGCCCCTTTGCCCAGGCTCAAGGGCTGAACAGCTGTTAGAGCCCTCAAGCTCCTCCCTCACCAATGACTCAAAATTCCAAGTTGCCTCACAGGACAACCCCGAGAAACACATCTAAAAACAGGCTGTGTTCATCCTTCACGCGTGCCCTGCCACACTGTTCTGGCTGGACCCTCTCCCTCAGAACCCCATCTCCCCTGCCCAGGGCATCCCAGAGCTCACATCTTTGCCTGCGTATTTCAGGTTTGGTTTCCTTCAGATGACCAGGGTTCCAGAAGCAGTGCCTACTCCCCACTAAAACCATGTGGTAACTATATCCAATCACAGTATAGGTGTACTAATTAGAATTTTACTTCCTCCAATCACAGTATAGGTGTACTAACTAGAATTTTAGTTCCTCCAATCACAGTATAGGTGTACTAATTAGAATTTTACTTCCTCCAATCACAGTATAGGTGTACTAACTAGAATTTTAGTTCCTGAAGTACAGACAGTTTAGTAAAGAAAAGCCAGAGTATCCACTTCCTGGACATCTGAAGCCCCAACCACACATGCCTGGCTCCAGAGACAAGTGTTCTCTGGTGCCCACAGGCACCTGTGGAGTCACCTCTGGAGGAGGATGGGAGTGAGACTCCCAAGAGAAACCTATTTTAATTATGTTATCTGTATGAATGTTTTGGTTACATGTATGTATAGTACCACATGCATACCTAGTACCCACAGAAGTCAGAAGAAGGCATCAGATCCCCTTAAACTGAAGTTAAAAATGTCTGTGAACCATTATGTATGTGATGGAAACTGCACCTGGTTCCTCTGTAACAGTGCTCTTAGCCTCCGAGTCATCGCTCCAGCCCCTCATTTTGGGGGAGGGTTTGAGACAGGGTCTCTCTATGTAGCCCTGGCTGTCCTGGAACTTGCTCTGTAGACCAGGCTGGCCTCAAACAGAGATCCACCTGTCTCTGCCTCCCGAGAGCTGGGATTAAAGGTGTGCGCCACCACCGCCCAGCTAGAAATTCTAAATGATTGGGCCTTGGTGAGTGGGCTGAATCTGCTTCCAAGCAGAGTGGATCCCGTGGAGCACACAGTTCAGCTTCACTGAGTGGGGGCCAGGCCTGGGCCCCACCGTGGCCAAGGATGAGTCACTGACTCACATCCGACTCAATCACACTGCCACAGAAATGTCAAAACAGTCTCCAGAGGTGGCCATATCCTCGGCCTGAGAAGTCCTATGGGAGGTACACCTGCTGAGCTGTAACCTTAGGAGAGGCCAGGGCTCACTAGGGAAGAACTCTGGGATGATGGGATTGACTGGTCAATCAGAAACAGAACTGTAGTGATTTCATTTGTGTTTTAATAAATAAAGCTTGCCTGAAGATCAGAGAGTAAAACAGCCCCACTGGTCAGCCTTACAGACCAGGCAGTGGTGACACACACCTTCAATCCCAGTCGCCACATTAGTTTGCCATAGAAACCAGGCGGTAGTGGTGCACGCCTTTAATCCCAGCCCTAGAGAGGAATATAAAACAGGAGGAGACAGCTCTCAAATAGTCTTATTCTGAGGAGGATCCCTGGAGGCAGTTTGGACTGAGGTAGAAGTAAGAGCCAGTGGTTGGCTGTTTTGCTTTTTGATCTTCGGGCAAGCTTTATTAAAATACAAATGAAATATCACTATAGAGAGCCTCTTTTGACTCTCACTTGCCTGGGAGTTGGTCTGGCACCCGCTTTATCTCACCCCACACTGGGGGTGGGCCTGTGGCAAGACTTGTACTTCACTGGCTTGTGTCCAGAATACTTAAACACACAAGAAGCTGATGGCAGGGATCACCTCTGGTAAAAGGAGCTGAGCATCTGAGGAGGATGGGAAGAAATTTTTATTGTGCCAACTGCATCTTCATAATTTTGTGCTGTTAACAGGTAGTCCTCATTTTTAAAAAGTTTAAATCCAATTAGCCAAAAATAGAGAAAAGAAGCTGCTTGACACATCCCTTCTCAGAAATACCTGTGTGGAAAAACGATGGGATGCAGTTGGCGCAATGATCAGTCAACCAGGGGACCACAAAGGCTCTGAGCTCTGCTCCTTTCCTGGCCTTCAGGCAGCTCACCTCATCAGAGGAGGCAGGGTACAGGAACAACAGGGTCATGTAGGTGGCCTGCAGGCAGCTCACCTCAACAGAGAAAGCAGGGTACAGGAACGACAGGGTTGTGTCGGTGGCCACCTTATCGCCAGTCTCCATTATTTCTGCGATGATGAACCCTTTGATGACCACCTCATCGTGAACCATGCCCAGTTTGTAGATGTAGGAGCTGGCATCCATGCTGAGAACCACCTCTGATTCTGTGAAAGAGTAGGGAAGAGAGGAGAGGTGAGTTCTGGCAAACATAGGGTTAGATTAACTCGGGACAGAGCCGCTCTTGGCCTTAGAGGAGTCCTGACCTCTCTGGAGAGCCTGCATCTAGGGACCAAATGGACTTGATGATTTACTGAGATCTCTAGACCCATTCTGGGCCCCCATTGTCAGGGTAGTCTGCTCACGCTGAGGGTACCACAGCCCACTGATAGAATACTAATTCCAAACAAAATCTCTACTGTTGCAGAGACTTGGCGACACCATTAGCACCCTTAATGTGTGGCTGTGTGCTAGACCCCAGACTCCCGGAGCTCTGATCTATGTGTGCTAGACCCCAGACTCCTGGAGCTCTGATCTATGTGTGCTAGACCCCAGACTCC